CCAGCCTGGGCGACAGAGCAAGACTCTGTCTCAAAAATAAAATAAAATAAATAGAATAAAATAAGGACCAGAAACCTTGCATGTCAGTCGCTGTCCCATGGGAAGGGAGCTGGCATGAATCCAAGGTGGGGGCCCAATCCTCAGGCTCCCCTGGAACTTGGAGATCCTCCTCGCCCCGCCAGTGAGGGCCAGTCCCTCCCTCTCTCTCCCTGCTCCTCTCACCGCCCAGCTGCAGTTGGCTTCCCGGCCCAAACTTGACTCTATCATTGCCTGGGTGTTATTTGAATAAGTGCATTATGCGCATGTGTTTTAAATGTCATCATTACCATTTATAAACACCATCTGTTAGCAACTCTGCATTTGAGAATTTTAGAATAGCATTTCAGGCGCTCACTCACTTTGTGGGTGGGAATTGAGCCTGGTACAATCCCTTGGAGAACAATTTGGTCCTTGCAGTCAGTTTAAAAATACACATTCTCCTCAACCCCGCAAGACAGGTGAAATGAAAGCCACATAATGGAATACACGCAGCCAGGAAAAACAGATCTGCATCCATGGATATGGTTTCATCTCAAAATTAAAGGTACAGGCCAGGTGCGGTGGCTCACGCCTATAATCCCCAACACTTTGGGAGGCCGACGTGGGAGGATCGCTTAAACCCAAGAGTTCGAGACCAGCCTGGGCAACACAGCAAGACCCTGTCTCTAAAAAAAAAAAAAAAAAAAAGAAAAAAAAATTAGCCGGGCGCCGTGGAGCACACCTGTAGTCTCAGCTACTCAGCAGGCTGAGCCGAGAGGATTGCTTGAGCCTGGGAGTTTGAGGCTGCCGTGAGTCATGATCTCACCACTGCACTTCAGCCTGGGTGACAGAGCAAGACCCCATGTCAGACTAAGTAAATGTGCCAAAGAGAGTGTGTAATAAACTGTGTGTGTGTGTGTGTGAAAAGCAAGACAGGCTACAGAAGGTCCAGGCTGCCGTGAGTCATGATTGCACCACTGTACTCCAGCCTGGGCAGAACAGCAAGACCCTGTCTCCAAAAAAAAAAAAAAAGTAGGACAAGCTGCATACATGTTTGTGTGCTCTCTGTGCTGAGAAGGCGTGGAATACCTCTAGAACACACAAATGGAACCAGTAACAATTCCTTCTGGGTCTGGTGCAGTCATGAATTACTAGATCCTCTGGTTTTGTGAATTTCTCTTAACCTATATGCTGAATTACATCCACGAAAACAGTCTGTTCAATTGTGGGAAACTGATTGTTCCATCCAACAATCACAGTTTAGAACTATAACTGGTTATATGCCTCACCTCGCATTTTAATCCATCGGCCCAAATATAAGTCCCTTGTCCATGCATGAGTCCTTCTGAAAACATACCCTTCAAAACAAAGCAACGACAAATGCTTAGAATGCAGCTGACATTTGAGATGGGGTCTGGTTCTGTCACCCAGGCTGGAGTGCAGTGGTGTGATCATAGCTCACTACAGCCTCGACCTCCCAGGCTCCAGCAATCCTCCCACTTCAGCCTCCCGAGTAGCTGGGACTACAGGCATCCACCACCATGCCCAGCTAGTTTTTGTATTTTTTGTAGAGACGGGATTTCACTGTGTTGGCCAGGCTGGTCTTGCAATCCTGAGCTCAAGCAACGCGCCCACCTTGGCCTCCCAAAGTGCTGGGATTATAGGCAGGAGCCACGGCGCCTGGCTGGCCGCTGATGATGGTCTCCCACAGCTGCCTTATCCCAGTTTCCCGTGTGTGAAGATGCTTGTCTGCGCACTCAGCAGCAGCTGCGTCCTACTGAGTCCTACTTTGAGCTGGCTCCACACTGGGATCCATCCTTCTCTAAAAAGGATCTAAGAGGTCCTCATCTTCATGACCTAAGGATGACCTCAGCTACAAAAATGTGTTCTCAACTGGATGTGGGGGCTCACACGTGCAATCCCAGCACTTTAGGAGTCTGAGGCAGGAGGATCACTTGTGCCCAGGAGTTCAAGACCAGCCCTGGCAACACAGCAAGTCCTTGTCTCTACCAAGAAAAAAAAATTTAATTAGCCAGGCGTGGTAGTGCACGCCTGTAGTCTCAGCTATTCAAGAGGCTGAGGAAGGAGGATCCTTTGACTCCGGGAGGTCAAGGCCACAATGAGCTATGACTGTGCCACTGCACTCTAGCTTGGGTGACAGTGAGACCCTGTCTCAAGAAAAAATAAAATAATCAGGAAAAGAAACAAATCTAAAATAACTTGTATTATACTGAGCATTATTTTTACCTTAAATAGGTAATCAGGGTTCAGAATAAAATCAGCATGAAGAGCTTCCAATTTCTTTTGAAGCGTCAGTGGATTTTACTGAAGATTTGCAAATCTCTGATCATCACCCCACACCTTCCTCCCCCTCCTGCAGGTTCTCAAACGTGCAACTCACACGATAGGTACAATCGCCTTGAAAGACTGCGAAGCCTTTTCCCTCGTACAGCCCACGAACTTTCTCCCCTTCATAGCTACAGAGAAATAAAGGGAATTCAAGGTAATGAACAATGTGAATACACCCAGGTGACAGTGGGTTAAAATATATAACTACGTAATGGGAAGAATGAAGTCGAAAATATATATACACACACACACAGCTAGAAAGTGGAATAGGTCACCAGGGGTTTCAAGGTGGGATGAGGAATGAAAGAGTTTGGGGTTTTGTGTTTTGTTTTGTTTTTTTCGGGTTTTATTTCGAGACGGAGTTTCACTCTGTCATTCAGGCTGGAGTACAGTGGCGTGATCTCGGCTCACTGCAAACTCCGCCTCCCGGGTTCAAGTGATTCTCCCGCCTCAGTCTCCTGAGTAGCTGGGATTACAGGCGCATGTCACCATGCCCAGCTAATTATTGTGTTTTCAGTAGAGAGGGGGTTTCACCATGTTGGCCAGGCTGGTCTCAAACTCCTGACCTCAAGTGATCCACCCACCTCAGCCTCCCAAAGTGCTTGGATTACAGGCTTGAACCACTGGACCTGGCCTGGAGTTACTATTTAATAGATGGTTGTACAATACTGTGAATGTACTTAATGCCATTGAATTGCACACTTAAAATAATTAAGATAGTACCTTTTGTTATGTATGTTTCACCACAATAAACTCTCTCTCCATATATATGCCATGGGGCTCTACATTTGCCACTTGAGTGATGGGCTTACTGGAAGCCCAAATCTTAGCATCACACAACATGCCCTTGTAACCTGCACATGTAACCCCCTAAATCTAAAATACAATAATTTTTTTTTTTTTTTTGAGACGGAGTCTCGCTCTGTCACCCAGGCTGGAGTGCAGTGGCCGGATCTCAGCTCACTGCAAGCTCTGCCTCCCGGATTTACGCCATTCTCCTGCCTCAATCTCCCGAGTAGCTGGGACTACAGGTGCCCGCCAACATACCCAGCTAATTTTTTTGTATTTTTTAGTAGAGACGGGGTTTCACCATGTAGGATGGTCTCGATCTCCTGACCTCGTGATCCGCCCATCTCGGCCTCCCAAAGTGCTGGGATTACAGGCTTGAGCCACCGTGCCCGGCCCAATTTTTTTAAATACGTAAAATTACCTTCAGGCCAGGCACAGATTATGTCTGTAATCCCAGCAGTTTGGGAGGCTGAGGCAGGTGGCTTACCTGAAGTCAGGAGTTCGAGACCAGCCTGGCCAACATGGTAAAACCCTGTCTCTACTAAAAGTACAAAAATTAGCTGGGTGTGGTGCTGGGCGTCTGTAATCTCAGCTACTCAGGAGGCTGAGGCAGGAGAATTGCTTGAACATGGGAGGCGGAGGTTGCGGTGAGCCAAGATCGCACCACTGCACTCCAGCCTGAACGACAGAGTGAAACTCCATCTCAAAATAAAATAAAATAGTGTGATACCCTATGGCACCCCCATTAAAATCACCTCTCCACGATGAGTTTGGTCAGAATGGACTCTTCGTATTGGGTGGCATCTTCATTCTGCTGAACGTTTCGGGGGTCTTTTTTGGGTTTCGCTTCGTTAAGCTGCATTCCCAGCAATGGGACAGCTGGGGACATCTCTTGCCTAGTGCTGTTGCCACCTTGTTTGGAAAAGTCTAGATTATCAGAGAGAGATGAGGGAGAGCGGGCCGACTTGTCCCCTCTTTTGTCTGCTTTTTTCTTTTCTTTCACCATTGCCTTGGGAAGATTCAATGGTTACTTGAATCAAATGATTCCTTTGGTTCAGAGCTGCTCGTTTCAAAGCACTGATGAGTTTTATCTGAAAAATAAAAATTACGTCTCCAAACACTTGGGGTTTTCATTTGTAGTTAAAATTTTAGTTTTACAACACAATGTCATTATCATTCCCCTGCCAAAGTCTGAAAAATTAGTTACCACGGCCGGGTATGGCGGCTCACACCTGCAATCTCAGCACTTTGGGGAGGCCGAGGTGGGCGGATCATGAGTCCAGGAGGTCGAGATCAGCCTAGGCAACGTAGTAAGACGCCCCTTCTCTAAAAAAATAAAAATAAATTAGCCAGGCGTGGTGGCACAGCCCTGTAGTCCCAGCTACTCGGGAGGCTCAGGTGGGAGGACTGCTTGAGCCTGGGAGGTCGGGAGATCACACCACTGCACTCCAGTCTAACAGAGCAAGACTCTGTCTCAAAAATCATAATAATTACAAGTTTCAAGCACCATCAGTTTATAAATATACAACCTCAACACTGCATTGGTTGTTCCCAAACTTTTTTTATTTTTGAGACAGAGTCTCACTCTGTCACCCAGGTTGGAGCACAGTGACACAATCACGGCTCACTGCAGCCTCAATCTCCCATGCTCAGGCAGTCCTTCCACCTCAGCCTCCCAAGTAGCTGGGACCACAGGCATGCATCACCACACCTGGCTAATTTTTTGTAGAGACAGGGTCTTGCTATGTTGCCCCAGCTGGTCTGGAACTCCTGAGCTCAAGCAATCCACCTGTCTCAGCCTCCCAAAGTGCTGGGATTATAGGTGTGAGCCACTGCACCTGGCCCTAAAAATTATTTAAGTTGGAACCATTGTCTAGCATGGTTTCTTGAAAGGTATCCCTACACATGAAAAAGGCTACTTAACCTCTCAGGTCTTGCATGCAGCCAATTCACACTTTAAAAGCCCCTCTCCCGCCGGGTGGTAGCTCATGCCTGTAATCCCAGCACTTTGGGAGGCCGAGGTGGGCAGATCACGATGTCAGGAGATCAAGACCACCCTGGCTAATACGCTGAAACCCCATCTCTACTAAAAATACAAAAAATTAACCAGGCATGGTGGCACATGCCTGTAATCCCAGCTACTCAGGAGGCTGAGGCAGGACAATCTCTTGAACCTAGGAGGTGGAGGTTGCAGTGAGCCGAGATTATGCCACTGCACTCCAGCCTGGGCAACAGAGTGAGACTCTGTCTCAAAAAAAAAAACAAAAACAAATTAAATAAATAAAATATTTTTCTATAGACGGGTCTCCCTACGTTGCCCAGGCTGATTTCGAACTCCTGGCCTCAAGCAATCTTCCCACCTTCTCCTCCCAAAGTGCTAGGATTGCAGGCATGA